AGGTACGCCGCGCACGGCGGCCGCGTTGCCGCGCACGCCGCGCGCGAATTTTAGCTGGCGCGACGGACGAGGCACCACTTTCAGATGGAGATCTTCAATCAAAAAACTTTCAGCTGTGTGTCTTGGACAATCTTTTTTGCTTAATAAGCATACACACGCCATTCTTGTTGATATTTTTGTTTGATCATCATCTTTGATGATTATTGCTATCCTGTATAGCTTTATATTCGCTTTCCTGTCGATGCGGCTCCGCTTTTTTACAAAATTTTACGGGTTTTTGATTTCGTTGTCTTTTCTGCTCCGATAAGAAGTGATTCAGCCATGATGATTCTATGATGGAAGACGCAGCTCATCATCAAAATATAGTTGCCTCTTCTTTCCTTACATGTCAGTTGAGGTCTTATTTTTGTTTTTATTTGCCAAATGTAGAGATTCTAGGTCCAAAAGTCAAAAGACTGGTACACTGCTTCGAAACACAAGTTCGTCGGGAAATCGACGTGATCAGTGGTACATACAAGCTTGTTGCAAAATTCATCACATGTGAAAAATTTTCAGTTTTTACGAATTTCGTCGCGTGGCTATTTTCCCTCAAAGGATTCAGATACTTCTGATTTTCATCACTGAAAAAGGTAATAATTTCACCAGTGGACTTAGTTAACTCTCGTTGGTGCTACATACAAATACTGGAGCTATCCACATCGCAATAACCATCGCTTGTAGGTCATTGCGAGCTGGATAGCAAAAGAAAGCACGTTATACAACTTGGCATCCTTCCAAAATTCAAAAGCTCCTTGATCAGATCAATGTCTTTCGAAATCCCTTGTGTTTTTCGCGCTTTTTTAGCCTCCATCACTCATTAGGAGCTTTTACAAATGTCGTCATTTAGCTCCTCCGATCCATCTGAACGATTTTTGGGTGTACGGCACGTCAGTCAGAAAGGGAGGCACGAAATTATTCGTTTCGCCATACCAGGAACGCGCATGGCGCACATATTTTCCCACCAAAGGAGCAATGCAAACTACTCTGTCTTTCGATGCAGAGAGTGCAAAAAGCGCGGACACTACAAGGCTGTAAAGGTTAGTCAAGATTTAGGCTACTCCAATATACTGACTTCAAAACTAGGTCCCCAGCTTTTTTGCTAAGGAGGAGTAATGACATAATTACTGGCTACTTTTTCCAAACTAAAAACGCGTAATTACGATTAGTGTTTGGTGTGGGTCAGAATTCCGGGGTTCCACTTGATCTTAGTCTATAGATTGTTTGGCAGGTAGCGCCATGTCAACAAGCTGAAATGGAGTTGATATCTGCAAGAACCTATGATTTAGGTCGTGGGAAATGAAATAATCGATGACCCTCTCGAAAATCACGTCTGTGTGGCCATCAATTCTTCAAAAGACCAAGCAAACAGGATAATGTACGAGGTAGCAGTGCATGATATCAAGGATGACTAGGCTAAGCTTGCTTTCCTTTGTGTTTTAGGTGATTCAAAATATCCGATCTGATTCCCGTGCAGCACATGCTCCTGTCTCCGAAATATGGGAGAAGACGTTGCATAGAGTATTGAATGAGCATGGATCCGCCTCCTCTTCAAATGAAGTTGTTGCTTATTTCTACAAAAATGGGTTAGAATCAAGGAGGAAGAGCATTGAAAGGTGCGAGCGTTAGTTTTTGCATTTACTGAAGGTTTTTTTTAGAGCAAAAGCTGTTCATGGAAGCCAAGAAGTAACATGGGACAACATACCCGAATCATACAATACTCTCGATGATGGTACACTATTTCTTCAAGAAAGGAATGACATTTACCACCTCTACTACTCGTCAACCACAATCAGAGTGAGCCGGATTTCATTTTAATGTTGTCTCGCAATTTTTTCCTTTCCTTTTCTCACGTTGGTAAGATGCCGAACAAAAGCTTGAAGATGCAAGTGTAGGACGCATAACTCGCCTTGCCCTAAGCCTTTTTAGGAAGGGGACGGCCCCTTTCTAAAAAGGCTGGAGTCAGTTGAGTCAGTTTGGAGTATGGGCTTCAACGCTTGCGTAGGGTCGAACATAAATCGCGCTAATCTGCACGCCTACTCTAGCACAGGAAATGTAGCTGACGGGGTACATATATTGTAACTACGAACGGACTTTATTCGTTGACATTGTTGTCAAACTTGGAGTCAGCTCAACAAAATTTTTATTTTGGAGGATAGGCCATACTATCAATTGTGCCAGAGTTGCAAGCGTCCCCGGAAGTTTCAGGACTTTACAATACTATTGTGTGCTATATGTCCGGGAACGCCGAAACTCTGGCAACAGCTGCAACAACGTATGGCCAATTTCTGAACTCTTACAGATGGCCTGCGATAAGGTTTTGAGTGCTTTGGTTATGGATGGAATGCACAAGGTGGTTCCTTCTCATATGGGGGATGTGCAGTTATACACATTGCATGGAGTATTATCATCAGGCCATGAAGTTGAGTTCGTAAAGACAGGGACTGCTAGCAATTTCGCTTGTTTCAGCTTCCTCTTGCTTACGCTCTAATGAAAAACAAATGCCAACGGACCTATGAAAGAATATTCTCCAAAGTTGAGCAGGAGCTGCGCCTAAATATGGCGAACATAAGGAGGATCGTTTTGGACTTTGAACTGGCGGCGATAAGGGCGGTTGAGGCTTGTTTTCCGTCTTCCTCAGTGGAGGGCTGTTTGTTCCACATGAGCCAATGCTGGAACAGGAAGCGAAATTCCCTCGGCATTACGAAATATTTGCGAGGACCCCACAGAAGCAGGCTCGTAAAAAAATGGTGGAAGACAATAAAAGGAATCCCGTTCCTTCCGGAACGGTTCTTAGCGAGATTGCCCGCGCTTTATCGTCCAAGCATGCCGGAAACACACCCCGCATATGAAAAATGCGAGGACTTCTTGGATTACATTTTTTCTACTTGGCTCAGCGAGCCTCTCAGGCGGTACTGGTGCAAATGGAATACGGATACTCTACGCACTACCAATCTTGCCGAGTGTTATCATAGGTAATAATACCTCCAAAACCAAACAACAAGTTTAGATGGACTGTTTAGCAAATTCCGCCGAATGCTTATCAGGAAAAATGCAAACCTGCAAGCCGTTTTGGAACGCATCAAAAATGAAAATTTGAACGCAGTTGCCAAGCTTGTAACATTTGACGAGGTATCTTCAAACTTTTGCCTACGATATCATAAATAAATGATGTTCTAGTTTGAAAATGAGCGACATCTGCGCAGAAAGGATCTGATTCGAAGACAAAGGATCTCTCGAAAAATGGAGTGGTTCAGAAGGCAGCAGCGTGGCGTTATTACAACAAGCACCCTGATAAGGTAGTGAGTTTCTTAATAGCAGTTTTCAAAACGTCTGGGTTTAGGTACTGTAGAGCTATGTCGCGTTTCGTAAGCGAAAAAACCATTTAATCGCCCCACTTCCTGTTCTTTCATCTTTTTTTGCACGCGCTTTCGCAGTATAGGTAAGAATTGCTTGCACTTTCCATCATAAACTTATCACATCTCTTTTCGTTCAATTGCAGATCACGATTTTTTCTACCTTTTCGAATCCTCTC